AAATCTATGATTTTAGGACCATCAACTCAGAAGATTTTTGAGTTTTGGTGTTACTTATTTTTTTTTTAATTTTTTTTAAATTTTTATTTATTTATGATAGTCACATAGAATGAGAGAGAGAGAGGCAGAGACACAGGCAGAGGGAGAAGCGGGCTCCATGCACCGGGAGCCCGACGTGGGATTTGATCCCGGGTCTCCAGGATCGCGCCCTGGGCCAAAGGCAGGCGCCAAACCGCTGCGCCACCCAGGGATCCCTGGTGTTACTTATTGATCATTTCTTTATGAGGAGGGTCCACAGCAAGCACTATATTCATTCATATATAGATAGTTTAACTTAACATATATTTACTATTAATTGCTGTGCATCAAGAAATCTGCAAAACAAAAATAATAAAGAAATAATTTGTTGTTTTTCTTGCTTTCTAAGCTCTTAGAAATGATCCAGTAAGGCATGACTAGTGGGTAAAACTAAGTTACTAAAGAATAAAGTAAAATTATAGACATAAAAACTGCAATGTATTATTAAAAACAGTAGTTATCACTTAATACATGATAGCTATGTGCCGGGTACTGTGTATTTATTATCACATATAAAAATCACATGTGCTCTTAGCCAAAATTCAACAAGAAGATGCAGCTAGTTTCTTTCTAAAGGAAAGAAATAGAGATTATAAGTGATCACATGACTTGGTAAGCCCACTTGCCAAGTTAGTGGTAGAGGTAAAATGGGAAGTCCAGTGTCTATCCACTTTTTTAGAAAATCTCTTATACGTACAGAAAGTCAAGCTGAAAGCCAACAGGAAATCGGTATGGAATGAGATTAGCTGAAAAATGGTCCATGGTAGAGATGTGTGTTTTCTCTCTACCTCAATATGTGTTCCTGTTCTAGGGTGCAAGCTCCTATAATGCTGTATCCCTCTGAAAAAGTAAGCTATTTAATAATTTGTTTATAATGAGACTGAAATGATGCATTTTTAGGAAATATTAAGGTCCTTAGAGATCTATCGATTAGAAATAAGAATTTTTTCCCTGGGGAAAGTAAGAACACATCTTCACTTAGAGGACATAAAGCTGAGAGGCCATTGAAATTGTAAGGTTTAACCCTTTGTTTTATAATAAGAAAACCCCTGAAATTCAGCACTGTATTCAGTTCTGTGTACACATTTTAGGAAGGCAATTGAAAAACGGAAATGTATTTTTAAAAACCCAAACACATTCTGGAGAAACATGATAGTGTTTCTATTCAGTGTATTCTCTGCATTCACCTGTTCTTCCACACACATTTAGTTCGTGACTAGGCTAGCTGTGTGTGCATACGTTGTAGAAAAAGACAGCAGGGAGCTACAGTGTGCTCAGTAGTGGAAAGACCCCTGAGACCTGAGTCAAAAGACTTGGATTCCAGTTAGAGCTCTGCAAATTAATAGCCATGTGACTCTGGGCAGCCAGTTTAACTTTCTAAATGAATTGTGACTGGCAACATTTTTTGACTTCCTCTAAAGCCATCTTCCTCCTCCTTTCCCTGATAACAGAGGACTGATTTGGTTCCCATGTCAAACTGAGCATGGTGCTTGGGGAATGTGCACCCCTTGTGTGGCTCCAGAGGATGAACCATTTTTATGCTAGTCACGATATTCCCACCGTTCTCAATCACTGGTGTAGAGGAGGACATGTGACTCATTGCTGCCTGACCAGAAATAGGGGGAGGCTGGCTGAGTGAATTCTGGGAAACATCCCATGCAACAGAAAGATTCAGGAAAAGATCCACCCATCCCCCCTCTATTCTTACAGTTCCTCTATTAAAAGCTATCACATGGGCAGCCCTGGTGGCTCAGGGGTTTAGTGCCGCCTTCAGCCCAGGACCTGATCCTGTAGACCTGGGATCAAGTCCCATATCGGGGTCCCTGCATGGAGCCTGCTTCTCCCTCTGCCTGTGTCTCTGCCTCTCTCTCTTTCTCTCTGTGTCTTTCATAAATAAATAAATAAAATCTTAAAAAAAAAAAAAGCTATCACATGAGTGAATGATACTGCTGTAGTCATCCTGTGAACATGAATCGAGATATTGCTGACTAATATGGAGGAGTAGAAAGTTAGAAATGCCAAACTATCTTATCTTGCTTTATTGTTCTTTTTATTTTTTAATTTATTCATGAGAGACACAGAGAGAGGCAGTGACATAGGCAGAGGGAGAAGCAGGCTCCCTGCTGGGACCCCGATATGGAATTTGATCCCAGGACCCCTAGATCATGACTTGAGCCAAAGGGAGACACTCAACCACTGAGCCACCCAGATGACATTGCTTTATCGTTCTTAATTGTTATCACTACCTGCTCTAATATGTATGTGTATGCTTATGTGTATATATTTATACACACATGTCTTTCTACATTTCTTTATCTTTCATCTCTCTTTGAAAATATAAGAATTTCAAAACTTGGACATGCATTATACTAGTATTTGCATCTCTCTTCTATCTGTCATCTAACCACCTGTCTACCTATCTATTTCCACTTGTCTCTTACTTCCAAACCCCAATATAGCTAGAATAAACGTTCAAGAGAATAACAATGATTGTGTTCACTGCTGAATCCCCAGTGGGATGAATGAATGAATGAATGAATGAACTCTCTGACAGAATTATTGAGGTGCTATACATGCCTCTAGATTTCTTATAAACCCTTAGTATTTAAATGGCTTTTACCCAGGTGGCTTTTGACTTACTGTGTCTCCCAGGTACAATGTAGATGTTATTTACCAACAATTATAGTATAATTTATGTAATATATAACCCAGAATATTCTAAAGTTATAAAATTTTGTATCAAATGATAACCCATTAATTTATCTTACAAAACTTTAATAATTTGTGAGTATCTTTCTATACTTGTAGTTTCTAGTTTTATTCTCCTTGTATGAATTATCTGCTTATTCTCCTTGTATAAATCAAAGGATTTTTAAAAGAGAACATATTGAAGAATGATGCCAAAAAATAATAGTTTCGTTTGTCAATTTGTTTATTTCTATAAATCTAGGTAACCACAGGGAGAAAAGAAAAATCAACAAGTAAGAATCCCTATGCTAAGCAGTGGGAAGAACACACAAACAGTACAATCAGTCATTGTTTTTGTCCTCAAGCTGCATGTCCTGAAAACCATACTGAAAGCATATACAACATCAAAAGACAACAAGGCAATAAATATACAATGAGTTCTCAAGTATGTGAAAGACATTTAAGAATTGTAAATGTGCTCCTGTAGCCATCTGTATATATTCAGATTTGTTCTTATCTCTCTACATTGTAATCACTTATTTACATGTTCATCTTTCCCACTAAAATATAAGAATTTCAAAACTTGGACCTACATTATACTAGTATTTGCATCCCTGGCAGCTGGTAACTTTATATCTCAACACATAGTAAAGGAGCAGTGAATGACTGAAAGGTTAATGAGATATCAATGAGTTTGAAAAGACTTCGTAGAAGCCCTGTATCTAAGTATTGAACACTGATTAGCATTTGAAAGGACAGAAAGGAACAGAGTATTTGTAACAATGGAGAGCTTTACGATGTAAATTACAGAGATAGGAGTGGTTGTTGAATGGCCATGGATCAGTAAGGCTTGAACACTAAGACAAGGAAAGGATAAAGTCATTGGAAAGAGAAGGATGGGAAATGGGGTACAATAGGCCACAAATCATAGACATCCATAAAAGTCAAGAAAAGGAATTGAAATTCACAGGTATTGCAATAGGGAATGAGGAGCTTTGGTCAGATGAGTGAAATGGCGGAGACAATGATGAAGCATGGGATTTGGACAGACAGGTAGGTGCAGGATGAACAAGAAAACCAACCAGATAAATCCCAAGTGACTGGTGCCAGGAATCAAGCAGTGACATAATGACTACCAGTCATCTGACTCCATCCTCTATGGTCCATCTTAGAGAGGCTATTTAGTCTAATGAAACTAGGCACTTGCAACTCTCCTGCACTCTCAAAATTGAAGGATTTATTCATTCATTTATTCAATATGCATTTCTTGAAAATCTGTTATGTGTCAGGTAATATGCAATTTGTGGGGATTCAAATGTTCAGAAACTGATTAAAGATACGGAGCTGATGCACTCTGCCTTAAAATGTTCAGCTCAAATCCCTAACTAATTTTACCTATACAATTTTTGAACAAAGGACTCTTCCTTTTATAATGCCTTGGCATTGATGTCTTTTATACCACAATACCAAACTCAATTGTGTTATATTGTTGTGGTGCAATTTTTAGGGACCTGTCTGATGACATTGCAGACATGAACATTTGTTGGAGCAACAATAAATGAAGGCAATATCATCCCAGACATTCAGTTTTCTGAGAAAATGACAAAACTTGACTCGTAATGGCACATTAAAAATCATAGAAATGGGGCTGAGCAGAGAAGCTTAAAAAATGCATCACTTTGCTACTGCTGTTGGTTTTACTCTGCTAATGAAATGAAATTATACCCCAAGGGTCAGTATTAATCACTGTGTTGACTTTTTCTGGAGGAGGTGGGCTGCTGTAGTATGTATTAAAGAAATTCAAGGGGGAAAAAGTAAGCCAAGAATCATCAGCGCTCAACTAAGAACAAATACATCTGAGACTGTCTAGATACTGTGTTGGCTTCATGATTCATGTTTCTAGGATGCCACTGCCTATATTTGCAGATAGAGACATGACAGGAAAAGCTGACTTCTAAGTAATTAGGGAGAAATGGTTTATTCAAGGAATAAGTCAATGAGTGCAATGCGAATTGTATTTAGGGTAATTACAGTATGCTAAGGTAAACATATGAAATTAACGAGATTATCCCAGTTAAGAGTAAACATGAGATCACTATATCAGTAATAAGATTTTGTTGTGGTTATTGTTTGTTGTATTCACCTACAAGAACTCCATTTTCCTCTAATTCTTCCTGATTTTCGTAAGGTCAGAAGTGAATTATATTTTCTCTAATACGTGTCTTTTCTATTCATTTTCCTATACTGTTTGTAAATTATAAAATCAGAGGGAGAAAAGTTGCAAACATGTAGTTCAACCCAAATAGACATCACATTTTTAATTAGCAATAATCGCGCCTCGGATAAACCTCATTGGCTACAATACTGCCACTGTGCAAAGCTGACATCACATTTTCCAGGGGCATCCTATATGCCTTTTATCTGTTTTATTTGTTTGTTTGTTTGTTTCTGCTCTGTTCCATTGTCTTCTGTTAAGGCCACCAAAAATTTATTGATGTTCTATATTCTTTCCTGCTTTCTCTGGTCTGTATCTTCACTCACACGAACTTTCATATTTCACATCCACATAAATAAGACCAAGAGAGATGATAACCATTCCCCTACTTTTGACTTACTGTGTTTCCCAGGTACAATGTAGAACTACTTCAATTCTTTAATATTTTCACAAAGTTCAGTAAAACAGCTTTTTTTAGTGATTTAAAAAAAAATCTAACCAATCTACTCAACTGTCAGACATAAATTCATGAAGATTGGATTATAAAACTGTAAGTGATCAATACTCTCCTCTACTCAAGACCACTCTTCTTCTTTGGCATTATTTTATTGTTCTTGGACCAGCTTAATGCTGCTCAACTCTCTTTTCTCTTGAGATTAGATATTTCTCAGGCTATTGGATCCATTATATGAATAGACTTCTGGAGGACCTTCCTTACCCATTTCAGACATGATCAGATAAATCTGAAATCTTGAAATAATTTAGCTTCCAACTTGGAAGTACCCACTTTAATATAGAGGTGCTCTATTATTAGTTGTATGTTTTACATTCAAGATATTTCTTCATTGTTGACAAGTATCCACGTGTAAAATGGATTTCAATTGCCATACTATCACAGAGGTCCTGAATAACATTTTTTCACATATTATGCTTTAAATAGTTAATTACGAACAGAAAGAAGATCAGTTTTGGATCATTGTTACTCTCAATTTTAATATATTAAAAATTAACAGTTAGTAGTTGAATGTGTTATGACTTGAGTCCAGTTTTCTTGATATATACCTCTATTGAGGATAGTATGGTTAATACCTTTTTACCTAAACAGGCAATAAGCGGAACACAGGGGATGCCCGGGTGGCTCAGCGGTTTGGCACCTGCTTTCAGCCCGGGGCGTGACCCTGGGGACCCGGGATCGAGTCCCACATTGGGCTCCCTGCATGGAGCCTGCTTCTCCCTCTGCCCGTGTCTCTGCCTTTCTCTCTCTCTCCGTGTCTCTTAGGAATAAATAAATAAACTCTTAAAAAAAAAAAAAAAAGCGGAACACAGAGTGATATAAGCAAAAACATCCTATTGTTGATACTAGAGTCTGGACTGTGAAAGAATTTTATATCTATGATACCCTAATACATTATTCAATCTCAAAAGTAGCTATATGAGCCATTGTATAGTAGGTCAAACCCTGAACCGTGTAATGGATAGAATTATTTACTTTGGCATCACATAGCTGCATTGTTCATATTAAAATAGTTCACATGTTCTTGAATACCCATTTGCAATTCAATAATTGTGGAAACTTTGTATCCCTTTAAAATTATTTTAATTTGAAAATTGGGAGCTAGGTGGAAGGTACAACTTCTTAGATGCTGTAACTAACACTCAGTGACCCACAGTGTGGGTCTGATTTATTATGCAAATACAGAGGCAGAACAATATATTCTGTTTAATCATGCAGATTTTTTTTGTTTGTTTGATGGCGTGTCCAGGCACACAAATGAATATTCTATGAATCCAAAATCTACTTCAGAAAGGAAGGTATTTATATGGGGTTATAAGAGCAAGGTGCCAGAACTGCGATTTATAGAATATGCTTGGTCGATTTTAGAAAAACAGTTTGTCTTTAAACAACTGAATTTAATAAAGAGAAAATTACCAAAAGCTTTTAGCTACTCAAGTTATTTAAGTGAAAGTTGAATTTATCCATTATGAGCTATAAAACCCATTGATTACTTGACTTGATTACTTAAATCTTATGGCCTGAGAACCCTGTCTGACGGATATATCCCCCTTCACCCAGAATGTATTATTGAAGAATGATTTTATGATAACTGCAGCATTTCAGGTAAGCACTGTTCTCTCAACAGACATGAGGAGATAATTCACATGGGTAAACGATTATATATTTAGAGGCCAGCAGCATTTCTTGGCAGCCATTAACCATTACCACTCCAGGGTCAAAACTCACATCTCAAGCCTAAAACCTGAACTCAGTGGGAGAACCATAAATAATTTGGTTTCTAGCATTTTTCAGCAATGAAAATACCTTTCAGCAAAATTATCTCCTTTTTCCATGAGAACTGATACACATATCAGAAAGAATAGTTGGGAAAATGCTGAAATATATGAATTACTGTGAAGATTGCTTTGATGTGGGCTGCTTGGAGAAGTGACAATATTATAAAATTTCTTTATTCTTATGCTAACCTTTAAGGTAGGTACTATCATTCTTATTTTATAGATGAGAAATCTTCAGAGAAGTTAAGTCACTTTTCCAAAGACATTCAGCTGAGAAATAGCAGCGTTAGGATTCCAAAATAGATTTTTTTTTTTTTTTTACATTTCTGTGTGCTCTTAGAGAAGGAGCATTGGTGATTTCAGACTTGATTTTTAAAAACTGTAAATAGAATGTCATGATAAAAGTCATAAAGGGAAACATACATAAAAGGAAACAACCACCAAAACCAAAATTGCACTAATATACTGTTAACATGCCGAAGTACTGTGGACCTATATAATTTGATGGTTGTCTTCTAGCTCTTTTCAAAAATCAGATCAATGTTTATGACTAAGTTAGTGAAGATTACAGTGTTCAGTGCAATTACCCAAACTGAGCAGACCTCTTCCAGATTCCGTGCTTGCTCCACAATCCGTGAGAGATTGATTAATTCCTTCAAGAAGAAAACTTTAGAGTTTATTAAAAAAAAAAAAAAAAGAACATAAAAGATACAATTTGCACTCTAACTGGCAGATTTTAAAGTTGCGTGATTTGTAATGTTTGAAGGAAGCCACGGCCAAGATTAACTCATGATGTTCTTAAAATTATGATGACCATCTGCCTTCCAGTATGTTAATGTAGAACCAATCTCTGAAAAGTGCTTCTCATTACTAAAATAATAATAATGCAGAGTGTTGTGCAAATTGTGTTTATTTGATTGCTGCATCGTTAAAGGAGTCTTTGATGCTTCAGGGCCATCTCTAAAAAAATGTTCAGTAGTAATTTGAAACAATTCTGGCTATTTACTATCTTCAGTCTTGTTCATATTCATTATTTATTTACTTTTTGGTTTTAGCTAAGACAGTTGAATAGAGAAATAATTTTTGCTTTTAAAAGCTTATTAAATTCTAGTACTCTATTCCTACTTGAAGTTATAATTTTTTTTCTTTGTTTTTCTCATTAGTTGCCATGAGGATGAATGAGTTGCTTTGTTCCATCTGATGGGTAGTTTTCTTGTTCTGTGATCTGGCAAAGAAGAGGAACAGATCCCACAAAATTCCCCTCACATCCTTACTGAGAATAAAGCAAAGATGAGGAACGAGAAATAGAACTCCCATTATAGTTCCCCTAATGGCTTTTGCTCTTGCCTTTCTTCTCTGCAGCTGTACTATTATATCAGCATATTATTCTTCTCAAGGTACCACATGCATCATCATGGGGCAGCACAGAACAGGGAAACAAAAGCACAAGATGGGACTTGTATAAGATCCAATGATTGGTCAAGATAACATACCATTAAACTTTAAGCACTGGACGTGATGTCTCTGAAAGTAGAGACAGCAGATGTGTTGCTTCTGTATCTCCAGTGCCTGGCACATGGTAGAAAAAGTCAATAATTTATTTAAAGAATGAAACTGGCAGTCCCATTATATTCCACTTTCTACATCTAGGTGTATTCTTAAAAGCAGTTCGTGACCCCTCATGCTTAGTTAAGGGACTGAGAACTTCCCTGGAATAATAATCAATGCATGTTGTCAAAAGAAATAAGTTTGCTGGAGGTGTGGTAGAGGGATAGGCAGAGGGAGAAATAAGTTGCTGTAGATTCTTCAGCAGATGTATGAGTGCATTGACAAGGGATAGTCAGACTTTCAAAAATGATTTGAAACAAGTACCTATTTGAGTGACCTCATAGGATTATTATAAAGAACTTGTGCCCTGAATCATGGGAAGAATAGTAAACACCTCAAACGGTATTGTTGGGGGTTTGAAACTGCTAGTTAATTACACGCAGTTCCACTCCAAATTCTGAATCAGTGGGCCAGTTTTATTTCTGCCTCTTTTGGTTCAAAAACATAGCCGGAACATGAATCTAGGTTTCCTAACAGATCCTCTCTCCTCTCTAAACCTAAAATTTGGGTAGGGAAGGGGTCTGCATCTGCAGAGCACACATTCACCTAACTGGATCTGTGGAAGGTGGTGGCCAGCCTCACACCTTATCAAGCACAAAAAGGGCAAGATTCTAAGACTCAGGTGACACAGTCAGCCTTTAACACATCAGTGCTGCCTGAGAGAGAAGTAAGGACCAGTGACTGCAGTCCTTCTGTGGTCTCATCAATCGAATAAATGATCCCTCTTCCAACAGAGAGAGAGGGAAGAAGGGTATATTATTTTTTCCCTTGACCTCCGAGCAGTAGAAGTTCCTTGCATACAGGTTGTGGGGGGGCGGGAGGGGTGGGGGGAGTTAAGGGGAAGGAAATGATTTCTCTTAATATTATCATCTCCATTATCATTGTGGCCTCCCCTCTCTTTCAGTGACACAGGATCCACCTCTCTGTGAGGATCTTAGGGACACAGGTCTTAGTGATGAGCAGGACTGTAAATACTTTCACAGTGAATAGGGAAGCTTTTGGCATGATTTCTCTCTGGCTACCATAATTCATTCTAATGACACTGGATAGTAAATTCTAGACTCTGCTTGTGTTGTACTCTGAATATCCTTCCTAATAGTTTACATTTCTAGGAACTCCCTAAACTCTGTGGGAAGTATTGGGGTGAAAGTATCTGTTAGGAGATGAGTGAGTATGGAAACTCTAGAGAAATTATCTTCACAGATTGATTCCGTTTTGGATCTCTTTTTGTAATTCACAGGGACTACCACATTTCTATAAAATTAGA